TTCTCTAATTATTAAATGTAATTCTCTGCTTTCTAGATTATGATCTTCCCTAGTATTTCCTAAAGCTATCTTATGTGTCATATTTAATTTTTCTAGACAGACTACACAATAGGTTATGCTGCATAATAAACATTGAGCTCGTTTATCTTTAGCTGGAAACCAATTACAATAGCTGCATCTAGTGGTATCAAATCCTAATCCTATTTGAAAGTTATGCTGACATTCAGTATCTGCATTGCATTCTATCATAAAGAAAGTATCTTGGGAAGGTGTTAATCCTATTTCTTGGTTGAGTTGTCCTAAAAGATTATCTATATTAGTATCACTTTCTGAATTACTATCTGAACTTATGGCTTCTATTTGATATTCATAATCGCTGACTATACTATATATTTCTGAATCATCACTAGTTATGCTAACTATATCTTCTTCTAAGTCTTCTATAATATGTAGTCTTTCTATCTGTTTATTAGTATTTGGTCTTTGTCTTCTTGGGCAGTTCTTTGCAAAATGATTGGGTTCTCCACATATAAAACAATTGCATTTTTTACTGTTGGGTTTTCTAACATATCTTTGTTTTCTTTTATCTTTTTCTTCTCTGGGTAATTTCTTATAATTTGTCCTATTAAAAGTTCTACTTTTTCTAATGAATTTTTGTTTTTTCCATGGTTTTCTATAATTTTTCTTCCAATATTTTTCTTTTCTATATTTTCCATATTTTTTGTATTTTTTCCTATTATGTTCATCTTCATATTGCTGAGGAGTATATATTACACTGCTACAAAAGCCGTAACTTTGTTTTTTCAAGTCTTTCTGTAATTTAACTTCTATACATTTTTCTTTGAGCTTATAAAATGTAAAAATTATTCTAGGTCCTATTCCTAAAGTTCCTCTTATTCTTAATTCTCTAGTAGCTATTCTTGCTGGTAAACTTGCATAATAAACTGACCATTTGTTTTCTATCTCTCTTCCTAATTCTCCTGGTAATTTTCTAAAATATTTATTTCGTATTTCTTCATCAAAACTTTTTCCAGTTCTTGCTGCTATGGCTAAGTATTCTCTACTAAAAGGTACAATATATTTCCAACTTCCTAATGTCATTTGGTCTAACTTAGTTAATGCTATGCTTTGAGCGGAGTCATTTCCTCTAGAAGGATCATATCCTATAAGTATTTCTTTAATAAAATTTGTAAAATTCCACGGGTTATTTCCTAATTCTTTGAGCTGTTTAATTGTCTCTTCATATTTTCCCTTGAAAGTTAAATAAATATTATAAGCTGAATCTCCTAGAAGTGTCTCCATATATTCCCACATATCTGTTGATTCATAGGGACTAGTCATCCATGCTTTTACTGTATCATTTTCCCATCTTTCTATTACTTCCTGCCATATCTGAGGGTCGAATCTAGCTAAATCTAAAAGGGTTCCTTGATTATGGACTGGCTGTAATTGTATACTCATATCTAGTTGTCTACGCTTTCCATGAAATCTATAGCTTTTATCTGGATCTGCTTGACTACGCCCTGAGCTGGCTAATGGTCTTCTTCCTCCTACTGCATACTGCATTGGTTCTATTGGATCTTCTACAGTTGGTTGTGGATTATTGGTTCCTAAGCTTTCTGTAATCATATAAAAAGTTTCTTCTAGGTGGTTAGGTTGTTCTGGTATTCTAAATATTTTGCTGGGATGTATATTATCTTCTATGATATCATCTACATATTCCGTATGAAATTCCTGATCTAAAAATGACACTGCTTCGTCATGGGTATCTCCTCTGGCTAAGTATTCATAATATCTGGCATCTAGTATTTTATTCATGTCTTCTAAGGTGAATTTTTCTAAATTTATCTCATAAATATTATATATCTTATTTTGTGATATAGTTTTTTCTTCTGTCATTACGTAAAGCTGATTTATATCACTACGATTATCTTGATTTTCTTTCCTATCTATACTACTAAATTCATCATCTTCAGATTTTTCTGGTGCTACATAGGTATACTGAGTAAATCTTACTGCATAATTTCCATCTGCTGTTTGGTATAATAAATTATCTTGAGGGGCTAATCTCTTTTGTCCTAGAAAATCTCCTAATTTCCAATCTAGTGCTGCATTATCTTCAGAATTAAATTTTTTAGCTGGTAATGCTTTTATTCCTATTGCGCCTAATAATTTAACTATCTGATCATTAGTAAGTCTATAGTGAGTATTGCTTTCTGAGACTGCTAGACCTAAAAATCCTGTGCAAACTAATAAATTCTTTTCTCCCCTTTTCATTTTATATCCTCTACTCTTTATTCCTATTTTTATCTTTTTATGAAAGGTCGAGGTTGGTAGTAAAAAGTCTGGGGTAAAATAAACTATTCCTCATTTTGAATTCATATCTGATTCATAACTACCTAAAATACTCTGTCCGACATCATTAAACCTATCATCATAGAGACATATAAAC